GAAAGAGAAGAAAGTGTTTTTCAGGAAGAAGATATTTTATTCATTGTTTCAGAGAGTTAGTTCCAAACTGCTATAAAATAGCAGCTGTTTGGTTTCCTCTCCAAGAGTCCTGATTGGAAAGATATGAACATCTTCTGGTGGCCAGAAAACATTGTTCAGTTGACTCTTATTTCTGAGGTGAGTTCAGAGTGTTTACAGATTTCTCTGTATGTTTCTTACATTTTACCAGATTTCAATTATGTACTTAATTAGAGAGGAGAATTCAAACACTGCTGGATACAGTGCCAGAGCATGAGTTTTTCAACTAGAATTGTATTGTAGAAAGAGCACTGAATTGAGTATAAGGATACTCAGGTTTTGGTTCTATTTTTTGCCACTAAATAGACAAATGAGTTTGAGAAAGTTGGTTAATCTCCTTGATTCTCTTCTGTAAAATGAGTAGATTTAAGTGGATACTTTCTAAGATTTCTTTCCAGTTCTTCTTTATGCATTAGACAATCTTTTCAAGTCCTTCAACCAAAAGTAAGCCAATTTGCTAGTCTTTAGATAAACTTTAAGAATTTATTTAAATAGTTTAGAAAAAAAACAGTAGAAGCAAAACAAACACAACGAAGTCTTTTAGAAGCTGGAACTTTTATGCAAAATCAACATATCCTGAAATAATCGTTTTTTTTTAAAACCTGATTTTTAAACTTCTCAGTAATTCTCTCCCTCGATAATCTCAGGTCTGGAGGTGCATCATTTTCCAAACTCTAAATCTAGCTTCCCATAGAAGAGGGTATAGTCATGTCAATCAGCAACCCAACTCTTAGTTCTCTTAAAGAAAACAAAGAAAATCCATAATATATTCCTCCACTTTTGTATTCCCAAATGATCATTTCCTTTCTGTGTTGGTTTTAGCATCCATTGGGTTTATATGAATAATAGTTCATTGTTTTCCAGTTTCAGATATGCTAATATATCAATGCTTCTGTATTTTAAACTCTAGTCCCTTGAATGCTTTAGACCCTCTTTAATCTCTTGAGTCAACTAATTGTATTTTCTTCCTTAAGGTGAGGCGCTGAATAGTCTTTTTGTCAACTCAGCATCATTCTGAGCCTCTTCAAAGGCAGGAACTACATTTCCCGGAATCTCTTTACATGTATAGTTCCAAGCTGGAGTCTGTCAATGAGAGGCGCTTGCTCAAGATTTAGAAGGCAGAAGAGGAGGACACCATTGTTTTCCAGTCAGAAAGATGCATGGGCAGATGAAAGTTCAAAGCTGCTTCCAGATAAATTTCTTGAGGAACTCTTGCATCTATGCTTCTGACTGAGACAGCTGGGGTGGATGGACTCACACTGAAACTAATGAAGTTTATAAACTTCAGGGCTCCTTTCTTGCATGGACCCTTTCTAGGACTCTGGGACTATTGTCCTCATAATTTTATTTACTTTTTCTTATAGAGAGCACTCGAAGTTGCATAAGCTTTAAGGCTCACAACACTTAGCTCTAGCTCTGAACGGTTAAGAGCCTCCCAGAGATCTTGTGACTCCAGTGACTTCAGGAGAGCTACCGTCAGCTTTGGGGCTGGAGTTGGAGGTCTTCTGTGAGGCCTTTCTGAGTCTCTCTCCCCCTGCCCTTGCAACAGTTGTGGACACTCTAACTCCCTTCATACTAGGAACAGAGTGGCTTTTGTTTTCATGACCAAACCAGTCATTGCTTAAAAATGACTGCTGTCAACAATTAGGTTATTTTTTTTGTTCCACTTAATCTCAAATTTAACGTGACATTTCTCTACACTAGAAATAATAGGAAAGCAATTATTTAACATCACATTAATAAAACCTTAGAGTAAGCTCCAGCTTGATCAACATTGACTATTCATAATGTAACATTTGGCACGTAGTGCTTAGTAAATATGTGCTAATAAGTGAGTGAAGGAATGGATGACTTCGTGAGCATTTGTATCCAAGTTACTCTTTAGTTATGATTATTAAAACAATATAGATCATCTTTGTTATAACAAATTCTCCCAAGATTTACTTAGCACAGTATCAAGAACTCCCAGCTGCTCACTGCTTTTTTTGGATGAAAATGAGTAGATTTGGGAGCCATTCCAGCACAAATTCTAGGAAATTCCAGGATGCATCTGTAATTATTTTAGGGTCTTCCAGAGGTTTGAGGCCACACCTGTTAGTTATGAATTATTTTCCTAGGGTGAATATATATATATTTAAAAGGGCCTGATTATTGGATCAGAGTTTGAAGAGTTCAAGCCCTCTCATTTTTCTTCTTGCAATTCAGTTCTGCATAGTAAATAGCAATGATAATCATTTTGCTGGATAAGAAAGTCAATGGCCAGTCCTCACCAGAATAAATCATGCTCATAATTTAATTTTAATGAAGACTACAACCTTAAAAAAAAAAAAGGAAATAATTTAATCGTGCTTAGAATTAGGCCAGTAGTTTTTAAAACATCCATATATATCTTGCACTACTGTATGCTCTATATTGAAGTCAAACATTTAGGAGTTTGTAATTTAAAAAATATTGATGAATTCTATGGAAAAGTAAAAAATTCCACGTTTTGCTATTTGTTCTAAGAATTAATTTTCTTTAATTTATATTTTTCATAGATGGAGTAAAAAAGTAATAATGCAAGATAATTTCATAATTATTGACGATGAATATGTTGGTAAGTAATTAAGTTTGGGAATCTTTGGTCTTTTTGTTTTCATTTAGTAAATATTTACTGTGTTCCACTTCTATGCTAGGTACCATGCTAACCAGTAGAAATATAATGAATTACACTTTATAGCTACCTTCCTGAAGTGGGGCAGACAGACACTTAACTGTAATTTCAGGGGGGAAAAAAAACAGGTGAATGGTTTGGAGGAATAGGAAAGGAAAAAGGGAGCTTTTGTGGGACCAGACACTGGAGTTACATACGATAATTTCATATATTTTCCATCACACCTTTGAGTCATTCTCATAAAGGAGGAAACCAACTCTGAGACATTGGATACCTAGCCAAGTTAACTGTTAATGAAGAGCAGCTTTAGAAGTTTACACCGATGTCTGTCTGGACCCTAGAGGCAAAGAATACCTAAAAGTCCTGAATTCCAGATAGTTTTGGGGTAAAAGTCACAGTCCCTCTGGCATATGTTCAGCACGACTCAGTTCATTCTCTAAAGGCCATGTG